AATCATATTTAAAATAGTTGTGCAAGCATCACCACGATCAATTTTAGAACATTTTCTTCTATCTTGTACTCTTTGTTGTTAAGTCCCCATGTCCCCCAGCGTCCCCTGCCATCCTCCCAAGAAATCATTAGTCCACACTATCTCTATAGCTTTACCTTTCCTGGATTTCATATACATAAAAACATGCAAAACCAAAACAAACAAAATAACAAATTAAAACAGAGAAAGACTTCAATTGAAAAGAAAGCAGAAAAAAGGAGGTCAAATGATAAGGTGTTCAATGTTAACCTAACTACATCTGGCACAATTGACTTTACCCTGCTCTCTGTCTGATAACACGGCTATTTATATCCCTGAACTGTGGTCAGAGGGGATTCACCAGAGGCTTGATCCAGGTGGGGACCCTGCAAATGGATTTGGGGGCTTCCACTGTCATCCATAGCCTTCTGCAAACTGGATGTTCACAGTTTAAGCTCCATTCCTTCCTTCAAGTTTGAATTTATAAAAATTGCTTTTGTAAATGTAAATTTCTTATTAAAATGCTTAGTTTTCAACCATTGAATACTACAATTTTATGAAAATAAGGTCAAACAAGCAGAACTGACATCCTTGGTGAGCGAGGAATTAAAACCTTTTTAGAACTTCAGCAATCCCTGTATGTTTTTTTTTTTAATCCTGTTTTATTATGAATATTTTTCATCTTAAAGCAATTACAATATTACTGTAAAATAAAGAATAATACAAACAAGCAAACTATAAATAAAGAGCCGCTATAATTCTACCTGACAATGTTTCAAAGCGATGTATAAGGTGTTCATCTGCTCCTGCCTGCGAAGTAGGGAGCTAAGTCCTTCCTCGTTGCTTGTTCCGAGTCTGGAAGCTCCGCTGAAACCTGTTCACTTGGGGTGACCCTGCTGGCGTGTGAAATGCCTGTGACCCAGCTTCCAGCATCCCAGCAACACACAAGCCACCACGTACGTGGTACTCAAGTGGTGGACTGGAAAAAGAACAAAGCGGGGTGTCTTGGAAGAAGTGCAGCCTGAGTGCTCCGTAGAATGAAAAGGATGGATGGTAAGACTTCGTCTTACAAACTTTGGGCATGTAGTCGGAAGAACCCAGTCCCTTGAAAAGGACATCATGCTTGGTAAAGCAGAGAGGCAGCCAAGGAGGAGAAGGTCTTCAAGAACATGGATTGACACAGTGGCTGCAAGAAGGGGCGTAATCATACAAACAATTGTGTGGCTGGTGCAGGACTGGGCTGTGTTTTGTTCTGGGTCACCATGGGTTGGAACTGACTTGATGGCACCAAACAACAACGTGATTCTACCTGGGAGGGCTGCTGGCACAGTTGGGTAGGCGTTAGACTCCTAACCACAGAGTTGGTGGTTCAAATCCATCAACTACTCCGTGGGAAAAAGACAAGGTTGTCTCTGCTCCTGTAATGGTTTACAGAGCTTTGAAAGCCCTCTATAGGGTCTCCGCAAATTAGAATCAGCTCCACGGTGGAGGGGTTGGTTTGGGATTTTTTTCTAATTTCACCTAGCCAGAGAAAACCAGATTGGCAAATGCCCTTCAGATTCTTTCTCTGTACATATTCACATATTTTTAAAACAAAAAAATGGGATCCTTCCATCTAAATTATTTGTTGCTCAACATAGTTTAATTCCATGAAGTCATTTTTGTGGACTCTTCAGCTTATTTATAAAGACTTCCTGTTACAAACATTGCATGTCAAGAACTGTGGAGAATGATGTAGAATGAAAACCATGAAGGGAAAAACCCGAGAAGTCTAAAAAAGTCTACTTAAAAGCATATACAAGGAAATAGAAATTATTCCCCACGGGACATCAAAAGCGTCACTACACACAGAGTACTTGACATTGACCACTTTCTATCAAATTATCGTTTTGACCCAGCTGTCATCTTAGCTAGCTTGCTTTCCACCGACTGTAATTTCTTCTTCGTTTCTTCCCTTCCAGCCTCCTCCAGTTTCTGTCCATACTGAGGGCTTCTGTCTTTCATTTCAGGCTGTCTCCAGCCATCTCAAACACCTTCCGCGTTGCCTTTCTTTCTGGAACATCAGTCCTATTCAGTTCCAATTCTTGATTCATGTTACTATCTCTGCTCTGCTCTCCAATCTCAGGCTGCTGAACTCTGCTGGAGAGAATCAGATGACTTGTCTAGCTAAATGGTAATAGACATATTTGTTCTCCAGCCTCATCGGGGTCCCCTTGGCTTCTTGCCTTTTAAATGTTCCATTCCATGTCACTCTCCCAAGTCTCCATCATCTTGTTTATCCTCCCTGATTGCTGCAAGGCCTGGGCGACATTCCTCCATCTCGTTCCTCTATCTTGCTTTGCAAAATAGGGGTCGTGTTAGTGACTACCGACCGGAAATGAAGCAAGAATAATGCTCCTGGTCTCTGGTTCTTCATAGTACATGTTGTAAATAAGATTTCTTCCCGAAATTTTAATTAGAATATTCCCTCCTCAAACGGGTGTGATTGCCTCTCTGGTCTGTAAAACCAAATTGTCTGCAAATGTGTACTGGAATGACTTAGGAACCCCCAGATCTTCAACCCAAAGGGGCTAGGGACCTTGGCAGATTGGAGAGAGGATTTCCTGTGCAAATGGTGAGAGTGTGGGGCTACTCACAGTGAAAGTCAGAGAGAGGTTCCAGTGCACTCAGAGGAGCACCTGGGAAGAAAGACCACGGGATCAAATGAAAACTCAGCCATTGGAAAACCTATGAGCCCAGTTCTATTCGGACACACATTTAGTCACCATGAGTCAGAACCAACTTGACGGCACCTAACAACAACAGCAACAACAACATGAGCAAAATATTGAAGGATACAGGAAGTATCAAAATAAGATGGAAAGCATACACAGTCACTGTACCAATAAGAATGGTCGATAGAACTGTTACAAGAGCTAGCATATGCTTGATCAAGAGCTGATGTCATTGAAGAAAGAAGTCCAAGCTGTACTGAACCCTTCAGCAAAAAACAAGCCTCCAGGAATTGATGGGATATCAGTTGATATGATTACAAGCAAAATATGCACACTTGGTCCAGTGCTGGCTACACTCCTAGGCTTGGCCTAAAATTTTGTAAAACATCTCCCTGGCCAGTCAATTGGAAGAGCCCCACATATGTGCCCATTCCAAAGAAAGGTGACCTGACAGAATGTAGACATGATCCAATAGTATCATCAATATCAAATACAAGTAACATGTTGCTAAAAATAACTTTAAAATGGTTACAGCAGTATATCGTCAGGAAGCTGTCAGAGATTCCAGCTGGATTCAGAAGAATATACGGAGTTCATGATATCATTGTTGACCTCAAATGGATCCTGACTGAAAGCAAAGCCATGTATTTGTATTTTATTGGCTATGCAAAGACAGTTGTCTGTGTGGATCACATTGAGAAGAACTGGGATTCCAGAGCACTTCATTGTGCTCATGAGAACTTGTACACAGACTAAGAGTCAGTTGTTCAAAATGAGCAACGGAATTTTTTTAAATCGGGAAAGATGTGTGTTGGATTGTATCCATTCACCATGATAATTAAATCAATATGCTGAGCAAATAATCTGAGAAGCTAGACTACCTGAAGAGTGAAGGAGAAGATGGCATCGGCTTTGGAGATAGGCTCACTAACAACCTGCAATATGTACATAACACACATCGTAGTGGTCACGCGTTGAGTTGCTAATCACAAGGTCAACTATTCCCAAGCATCAACCGCTCTGTGGGAGAAAGAGGAGACTTTCTACTCCCTCAAACAATTACAGTCTGGAAAACACACAGGGAAATTCTACCTTGTTCTGTAGGATCACTCTAAGTCAGGACTGATTCCATTGCAGTGAGTGGTTTGGTTTGGCTTGGGCATAGTAGGTTACACATAGGGGTGCTAACTGCAAGGTCAGTAGTTAAAAGCCACCAGGCGCTCCCTGGGAGAAAGATGAGGTTTTCTACTCCAGTAAAATGTTACTGGCTCGCCATCTGTAGGCATCTGGACATCCCCTTATGGAAGGGTCGCAGGGAGGAGACGAGACAGTCAGGGTGCAGTGTAGCAATGATGAAACATACAACTTTCCTCTAGTTCCTAAATGCTT